ATTTTTGACAACTGCAGACTCAGCTGTAAAGCTCCTTCCCGAGGCTACAAAGTCCGTGACAGGGTGGAAGGGCCTTCAGTATAGAACAGCATTTCCCGTTGTAAAACCACCTGGTGCCAATTTTTATCCACCAGATATGGACAAAATGGTATATAATTGGAAGTTAATACCCGTACTAATGTTGATACTCTAATGTAGTAAGGATTCACAATTTTCTTTCTTTTATTATAGGAATTTTCGTTGTGGAGAGACAGTCTCCCAGAGGATCAAAAGAAGGAAGCGATGGGATTCTTTAATGTAATCAGAAGGCATAGTGAATCTGAACTGGATATACCCATATCTCAAAATAGATCGACCCCGAATTCTTCCCATGACCTATATATCGTCCCATACTGTCAAGAGTACAACTCGCTCCTTTCTGAAGCTGCGAAGTTACTACATGAAGCCGGAGACCTTACGAGCTCGCTTAGGTATTATTGCTGTTCCTGGATTTTAAAACTCGGGTGGTGGACATCTGACTTATGAATTTTTCGTTATTCTTTTCCCTCTAGTTTGAGAAGATTTCTACACAGCAAGGCGGATTCCTTCCTTTCCAATGATTACTATGACTCGGATATTGCCTGGATGGAGTTGGTATGTTTGTTGCTTACCTATTTATTTGTAGTGCATATATTCCGATCATTCTAGCATGGGATGTTTTGATTATGTTTCCTTATTTTCATCATCTGAAGGACTCTAAGTTGGATGTAACTATTGGCCCGTATGAAACTTATGAAGATGCACTTTTTGGATATAAGGTATCTTTCCGTTGTGCATCTCTTTCTACACCCTTTGTATACACTGTTTAACAATATGATTGGTTTATTTGCCATTGCCTTCATAGGCTACCTTTGAGGCATTTATTGGGGTCCGAGATGACGAAGCAACAGCTCAAGTCAAGCTCTTTGGTGATCATTTGCAGGTGCGTTTTTAGTTTACTCCATTGTTAATAAACTATGGCTCCATTTATTCCTTCGTTTTTTCTATTACTTTTTGCTGAAGAGTGTGTTGATCTAGGTTTTGGAAAAGAACCTACCAATGGACAATGTTTATAAGTCGGAAGATGTGGCAGCTGCTCCTATTCGGGTCATCCAAGTTCTTTATAATTCCGGGGTTAGTCTCAAATTAGTATAAATAACAGCTTCTATGAAATTTATTTCTCCTACCATAAAAGATGTCATGTTTACTTTACCCCGTATGGAATTTTGTGTAAATATATAGTCGAATGAATGAGATCTTTACATTCAATTCTTTGGCAGGATGTGAAGGGCCCTCAAACAGTTGCGTTTAATCTTCCAAATGATGAGTCTATAGTGAAAGATCGAGGAACATCAATGGTCATGCTTAAGAATGTTTCGGAAGCAAAGTACAAGCGCTTTCACCCTTGAGACTATTATTTTTTAACATTTTATTTTTAAACGCCCGATTATCTGATGATTTTGTGTTTATCTGGTGATATTCTTTCTAATTAGGTTCAAGCTCATTCTTCAACCTATAGCTGATGCATGTATTACCAAGGAACTTCGGGAGTTTGTGGATTTTGAATCTTTCTTTACGCACACAATTTGCCACGAGTGCTGCCATGGCATTGGGCCTCACACCATCACACTTCCAAATGGGAAGAAATCAACAGTTAGATTGGTGAGTTTCCATCCATGAAAGTGTACGAGGAAAGATGATTAATGTTCAAAAATCTTCGAATTTGTTTTGATGTTTGATTAGAGGCTTACTAGTTTGGTGTTCTAACAACACTTTAATAATATTATTACTCCTTTTGTTGTCTATCGTAGGAGCTGCAAGAGCTCCACTCAGCGCTAGAAGAAGCTAAAGCCGACATTGTTGGACTGTGGGCCCTAAAGTTTCTAATTGGCGAGGTAATGAACTTTTACCTAGGCTTTCGAATCACCATCCCACTTTGATGCACCCAAGAAAAACACCGAGAAAAAACCATTATGTTCTATGTTGGCCAGGGTTTGCTTCCGAAGAGCCTAGTGAGATCGATGTATGTCTCATTTCTTGCTGGATGTTTTCGCTCTGTGCGCTTTGGATTAGAGGAAGCTCATGGGTAAGCAATTGTGTGATCCTATATATTGTTGCCTTCACGGTTTTTGATGGAACTAATATCGTAATTTTCAAATATGATCAGAAAAGGACAGGCGCTGCAGTTCAATTATATGTTCGAGAAAGGTGCCTTTGTCTTACAACCCGATGAGACCTTCTCCATCGACTTCGATAAGGTAAGATTTTGTGATCTGTCAGGATTAAACTTTAACCATTCGAAGCAAAATGTTTATATTTCCTATTGTGAAAGGTCGAGGATGTTGTCGAGAGCTTGAGTAGGGAAATCCTTACAGTACAAGCGAGAGGCGATAAAGATGGTGCCCAAATGCTTCTTAAGAAATATGGCGTTATGACTCCTCCACTACAATGTGCACTCCAAAAACTGGAAACAATTCAGGTATGAACATAAGTTTCTTTTCTCGCGATTCTACTGAAACCAACCAACCTTCATGTTCATCAAGATTCGAGTCACTGCTTTCTTAGAACGAATCAACACTGCATGTTTTCTTCTTGACGTATTTCTGATTGCACCGCGCTGTATTCTTAGGTTCCGGTGGACATAGTTCCTGAATTTCCCATTGCTGATCAAATTTTACGTGAAAGCCATTGAGGACTTGACATTATAAACTGTTCTTGAAGGAGGAGCACAGGCAGAGAGAGAACATTAACTATGTGTAAGATAAAATGATGGGGTTTTTATGCTGTTGTGAACAGAAGTTGCATCAATAATGTGGGATTTGTATGTTTAGAACTGAAAACAGAAGCTAAGATCTTGTGGTCTAATGGCACTAAGGTTGCACTCTCATATGGGTTGTTGTGAGTTCGAGCCTCAGTGGAGGCGACATTGACTCTTTGTGTTTCAGTAGGTTAAGAAAGTAGTTATGCACAGATACTACAATGTGTTACTTTTTGTGGTTTGAGCCGGCGGTCAGCTACAAGCTTGATTGAATCGAACTTGTAATTTTTTCCGTGAAAATCATGTTCTACTCACTCAGTTATCTTTTTGGAGACAACATGAGTTTTTTTTTTTTTTTTTTTTCCTATTATATATATTAAGATTTAAGATTTTGATTGATGTTTTAAGAACATATGACCATAGCCTCTTTCCTTTCGTCCTTCAAGAATTTGGACTAATCTTATAATCAAATAAATGTACAATTTCAAATATTAGAATTTTTTATAATTTTTATCTTTAATTTTATTATTTAAATATATAATTTAAAAAATTTTATCTGTGCATTGCACATATAATTTACTAATTTTACTTAGAGCATCCATATTAGGGGTTCATGAGGAGTTTTTGGAACAATAACAGCCCGTTTGGTTCGCTGGAAAATATTTGATGGGAAATGAAATTCAAATTTCATGAAAAACAAATTACCAGAAAAATAGATTCTATTGTTTGGTTGGTGGAAAAGAAATTACTGTGAATATGAATTCTATTGTTTGGTTAGGTTTGGAATGATAAGGAATTATGAATATAAAGACCAATATGCCCTTAACAATAATATATACATGTGTAATTAATAAACTTTGAGGAGGGTAAAATAGTCCAATATGTAATACTTTCTTCCCAAATCCTTTGGAAAACAAAATACCAATATCTTGCTAGGATTTTGTTTTCCTTCAACTTTAGGAACTCAACTTCCCATGGAAAAGATTTTTCATCCAACCAAACAACATAAAACAACATTTTCCTACACTTTTAGGAAAACATTTTCCATGGAATTTAACTTCCATCCAACCAAACACTCCCTAACGGTTGATGGAGGAGAGATACTACAAGGGTAGAGTGCTTTTGCAAGGGAGGGTTATTTGTGGGGTCCATTTGGTAAGAGAGAAACAAAAACAAAAACAAAAAAAAAAAAAAAAAAACAAAAGGGAGCTGTTATTCGTGAGGAAGGGAGCTTTGCAAGTTTCGCGCACAGCTGAACCCACATGCTCGCGTGCATTGCACATGCGCCTGTGTGGCGTGAAAGGCGCACCTGACATCCTTTTTATATTGTTTTTTTTTATATATAAAATAAAATTTTCTTTTTTCTTTCCCCTACTTTATTCTCTTTTCAAATCATACTTACAAAAACTTCTCAAATACTGCACCGAGATCAACTACTATGATCAGTACTTGTACTTAAAAATAAGATTTTACAACGAGACAAGTAATTATACTTAAAATAATACGGAGTATTTAATAATTAGTAGTTGTACTTCAAATAAGACATGTTTTGGAGAGCTATGTGTTAATAATGAGTCATTGTAACTTGTAACTTACAACAAAATTCAATAATAAGTATTGTAACGAGTTAAGTCCATTTTTGGTCCTAGACTTATTAGGCGTTGGACAGTTTTGGTCTTCCATAATAAAAATTGTCAATTTGTAACCATGTTTATTGGTCGTTGGACACTTTTAGTCTTCCGTCATAAGTGTCGTATGTTGACCGTGAAATTGAAGGGTATTGTTGTCTTTTTATGTCTTCTCCTTCTTTGTGCTATTAGTCAATTTCTTTGACTTCTAAACAGGAACCCACATCAAGCTAAGCAGTTCGAAGACCCAAATAACCCTAATTAATTCCAAGTAAATATTTAGCTAATTCGAAGTGTTTCGTACTAATTCGAAACCCGCGATGGAACCAAACACTTTGGCAAGAAGAACACGGTCGGAGTGGTGGCACTAGTTCGCCTGCAAGCGCTTGACGACAGTGGTGGTCCGACGGCGGAATGTGGAGGTGTGGTGGAATGGCGCAGGCGGAATGATGGAACTCTTCTCCGGTGGTGGCAGCAAATGGTGGAGGTCGCCGCGGTGGTCAGCGTTATTGAGGCCTTTGATGGCCTTTTGTCTCCACTCTCAGTGGTGGACGTCGGCAGTGGAAGGTTGAAGAGATGGTGAGCGAACGGCGGCGGGTGTTGAGCTATTTTCTAGCGGCGTTTGCGGTGGTCCAAAGACGGCTTAGAGCTGGAGATGGTGAGCGGCACCGTTTTGAGGTAATGCTGATTGCGAAAAAATTAAATGCTTTTTACATTACATTGGTGTTATTGAAATGTATATAGTGATGGCCTGATGGAAGAATCCCTAGGCCGCACCATTTAATTATACTATTCAGTTTTCAATAACAAAAATTAATGTCTTCTCTTGAAATAAGATTTGAACTAAACATACAGACTGAAATCTAATTATACTACCTGACTATTAATGTCTTCTCTTCAAATAGGATTTGAACTAAATAATCATTATAAATACATGTACAATCACACTTGCAATTCCACAAATGAAAGGTGCGAATTTTCTCCATGCCTTGTTGCAAGTGAGATAGCCATCTCCACACAAGAAGAGCAATCAAAGGTCGGTTGATGAACAACAAGCCTATGGAAGAGAATTCATGATGAAGAGGTAAAAAGCCTAGAAGCAATTGCACATCAATCGGAAAGGAAGCAGGTAATTAACTATCTTGAGATTCTTAAATGGAGGGAAATGGCATCCCGTTGGTGGACCTCGCTGGCATTAGTAAGGTTTTGCGAAACCAATCCACATCGTGGCAGAATGCTCGTGTGGAGTATGATGGAGTAAAAGAGGTAGCGTATCATAGCCTAGTAAAGAAGGGTAAGGACAAAGCCGAGTTGAAGAAGGTTATCGGGCAGGTATGTGATTTCTTAGACAGTACCATTAACGGTGGGGTCAGCTCGTTCATTCGTGAGCGGTTTATATTGGACTACGAGTTGTGGTGCAACCTCGACAAGGATCCTGGTTATGGGTGTGAGAATTTTAATTTGTCTTTTGATGTTAGATGGGTTGGCAGAATGGAATGTCCCCCCGAGAGTTTTCATAGGTATAGGAGTTCTACCTTAGCCGGAAATGAGATAGATTCAGATGATGAGCCGGTGGTTGCCGCTCCCAAGGTTGCTTCTAAGGTGAGGTTTGCAGAGCACGTAGCGGAGGTGTCTGCACCTACTGCCCCAGAAGAGAGCTTTGGGGGTGATGGCGATGATGATGAGGTCGTGTATGAAGAGCCTCCTCCTTCGAACATACGCAGGGAAGACAATAACCATCAAGACAGGGCGGGGAAGTCCCGGGAAAGATGGAACCGCTCCACAGGAAGGGAGAGGTGAGACCGAGGACGCTGCTGGGAAGACCGGGGCCTCAGCAGATGAAGGAAAAGGAGAAGAAGCACTCCAAAAAAAAAACGCTTCATTTGGGGAGAAGAAGCACTCGAGAAAAGCTTCATTTTTATTCCTAAGTTTCTATGCCTGTGATGCGATCCTAGCCTTTAAGGATGCATTTGAATTGATACTCTTCTTTCTTCAGGAATGGTTAGTAGATGAAACTCTGAGTTATTCCTAATATAGTTTTTGCCAGACATTGGTAGTTTTGTGTAAACTTCCATAGGTTATGCATTTTATCCTTTCTTTTCTTCATTTCATTTGGTTACAGCGTTATCAATGATGGAACATTCATCAACCATGAATACAATGATGTATATCTGGTTACCATAATAGATCCAATTCCTCTGGATGCCTTTACCTTACAGGTCAGTTGATGTGTCAGTTCATTGTTTCCTAGTTTCCTACCCATGCAATTTGAAGCAACTTCGATATTGCATATGAAGTATACATATAACTGGTTCATTTCATAATTGCCATTTCTTCCCTTAACTGTCTAAGTTTGGCTTATGAAGTTAAGGGATAATTAAAATATTAACAATTAACTTATGTTCTTCATTTTGAATGAGTTGATTTAGATGGCTGGTGTTAAATTGTTAATATTTACTGGTGAGTAGCTATCTTCTAATTTTAGTACTCTCACGGTGCTTATTAACTTGTTATCTTTTAGTTATGCTTTGGGCTTGATTGTGACTAGTGCTCCTAGTGGTTCACTTGTACAGTTCTGTCCCTTCATCACTAGTTTGCTCTTACTTTTTGTTTAAAATTTCTACAGTCTGCCTTATTTATCCGGACCACTAAGATCCATGTTCCGTGCCTTGAGATTGCTTATTCAGTATCTTATGCATATTTATCGATTCTATCTTTATTTCCACTGACCAGAAATCTGAATGCACCTTTGACTTTTTTGTTTAATGTTCAAAAATCTTCGAATTTGTTTTGATGTTTGATTAGAGTCTTACTAGTTTGGTGTTTTAACAACACTTTAATGTTCCTCCTTTTATTGTCTATCGTAGGAGCTGCAAGAGCTCCACTCAGCGCTAGAAGAAACTAAAGCCGACATTGTTGGACTGTGGGCCCTAAAGTTTCTAATTGGCGAGGTAATGAGCTTTCGAATCACCATCCCACTCTGATGCACCCAAGAAAAACACCGAGAAAAAACCACTTATGTTTCTATGTTGGCCAGGGTTTGCTTCCGAAGAGCCTAGTGAGATCGATGTATGTCTCTTTTCTTGCTGGATGTTTTCGCTCTGTGCGCTTTGGATTAGAGGAAGCTCATGGGTAAGCAATTGTGTGATCCTATATATTGTTACCTTAACGATTATTGATGGCATTGGCATCATTAGCATCGTAATTTTCAAATATGATCAGCAAAGGGCAGGCGCTGCAGTTCAATTATATGTTCGAGAAAATTGCCTTTGTCTTACAACCTGATGAGACCTTCTCCATCGACTTCGATAAGGCAAGATTTTGTGATCTGTTAGGATTAAACGTAACCATTCGAAGCAAAATGTTTATTTTTCCTATTGTGAAAGGTCGAGGATGTTGTCGAGAGCTTGAGTAGGGAAATCCTTACAGTACAAGCAAGAGGCGATAAAGATGGTGCCCAAATGCTTCTTAAGAAATATGGCGTTATGACTCCTCCACTGCAATGTGCACTCCAAAAACTGGAAACGATTCAGGTATGAACGAACATAAGTTTCCTTTCTCGCGATTCTAATTCAAACTGTCTTCTACTAATCGAACTGAAACCAACCAACCTTCCATGTTCATCAAGATTCACGTCACTGCTTTCTTAGAACGAATCAACACTGCATGTTTTCTTCTTGACGTATTTCTGATTGCACCGCGCTGTATTCTTAGGTTCCGGTGGACATAGTTCCTGAATTTCCCGTTGCTGATCAAATTTTACGTGAAAGCCATTGAGGACTTGACATTATAAACTGTTCTTGAAGGAGGAGCACAGGCAGAGAGAGAGAGAGATCATTAACTATGTGTAAGATAAAAATCATAAAATGATGGGGTTTTTATGCTGTTGTGAACAGAAGTTGCATCAATAATGTGGGATTTGTATGTTTAGAACTGAAAACATAATTTGAGAATAAAGTGAAATAGTATCGATTTTTGCTTCCACAATATGCTGCAAATGATTCCATCGACTCTTTGTGGTTTGAGTCGATCAGCTACAGGCTTATTGAATTGAACTTGTAATTTTTTCTGTGAAAATCATATTCTATTCACTCAGTTACTCTTTTGGGACAAATACGTTTTATATATATATATATATATATATATATATATATATATATATTAAGATTAATAATTGAGTTTTAAGAACATATAACCATAGCCTCTTTCCTTTCATCCCTTTAATAATTTGCACTAATCTTATAATCAAATAAATGTATACTTTCAATTATTAGAACTATTTATAATTTATAATTTTTATTTTTAATTTTATTATCTAAATATATAATTTAATAAAATTTATCTGTGCATCGTACATATAATTTACTAATTGTACTTCTAACATGATCAGTAATTGTACTTAAAATAAGATTTAATACTGAGTAATTATACGTATGACGAGTTGAGTAATTATACTTAAAATAATATTTAATAATTAGTAGTTGTACTTAAAATAAGACATCTTTTGGAGAGATATGTGTTAATAATGAGTCGCTGTAACTTGTAATTTTACAACAAAATTCAATAATAAGTATTGTAACCTACGAGGCTACGATCATTCGATTCCTAAATATATTCCCTCCCTCCACTTTAGCGTATAAAATAAGTAAACCTACGACCCAGATAAGTTCTTTACTCTCAGCTCACTTTCAGTACTTCTATCTCTCTATATCAAGACAAAATAATGGCTGCCGTGCATCAGCAAGTAGAGTACCTTGATGTCCTCACTAAAACTGGTGAAAAAACCGGCATCTCAAAACCAAGGTATGCAAACTTCGACAATGAATTCACTTGTTTTTAAATAAGATAATAATTGGATTCTCAACGTTTTCAGACATTTAAACCCAGTACTCTGATATTCTTGAGATTTCTTGCTACTAGGAAGAGTGATTAAGAGTGTTAGTTCTGTTTAGTCTATCTTTCTTTCACTTGGGCAATTTTCATTGCTTGAAATGAAGGAAAAGGCAAAGGTGTATTGTGCCTTTTAGTTGTATTAGTTCTGTGGTTATTGCAGCATTTTACAGTGCAATGGCGATTGAGAATGATGGTTAGTTTATCATTTATTATTATCTGTTATGATCATTTTGAAGCTTTATTTTTTAGAACGTCCTAACTAATTTTTGATGTGTATGTAATATGGTAGTATATGGTCAAAGTTAGGAACTTTATGTCTGGGCATGTTAGTATACATTAGTTTTAGGATCAAGCTTTACCTATTATGATTTTTTTTTTTTTTTTTGGGGTAGTGATTTCAATGTGTTTCTTTCGTGCTACTTATGCAGAGGGGATGTACACAGAGATGGGGATTATCATCGGGCTGTTAACGTGTGGATATATGCTGAAAGCACACAAGAGCTACTTCTGCAGTGTCGTGCTGACTGCAAGGACTCTTGGCCTGGTCGGTGGGATGCATCGAGTGCTGGTCATATATCTGCTGGGGATTCATCTCTGGTTTCAGCTGCGTAAGTTTATCCATTCAGTAAGCTTAACCTATGGAAATAGCGTGGCCCCAAATTAGCAGGCCTTTGCTGGACATTCCCTTGAGCTTTTGATCTCTGGATGAGAATTGTTTATTATATGCATGAATTTTGTCTTACATTTCATCGCTTACACTCTCTTCCCTAGTATCATCATAGTTATGATGAATAGCATTCCCACAGTTCTGTAACTTCAAGTGTTTTTCTCTTCCCAAGTTGTTGCTAGCCAAAATGCTCATCTTATCTTTTTTTTTTTTTTTGGGATATGCTTGTTTAATGATCGGGTGGCCCTTTCTAAGAATGTTTAGACATTTAAGTTGCAAATATTACAATTTTGGGTTATCTGACCATGTAATTTATTGTTCCAAAACTAATTTTCTCATTCTAATTTGTAGTGTCATTGTTTACATAAGAATTGATGAATGATTGCATTTTCACATATACACAATATGTTCACACCTATATTATACATCCACCACACACATGGTGTGGGGGGTCATGGATGGAGCTGGTGGAGTTGCTGGCATGGTGGGTGGAGGTCACAACTATCACAAGGTTGGAAGGCAGGGGGGTGATGGTGGAAAGGGAGGGGCAATGATGGTAACTGTATATGAGGGGTGTGAATAAAAAATTAATAATCTTTCTATGGGAGTGTTTGGTAAATAGTTGTTAGCTGATTGGGTTAGTGGGTTTGACTAGTTGATAGCATTAGCTGATTGTAGAAAGATGTTTGGTAAAGTAATTGTTAGCTGATAGCTGATTACTATATTACATGTAAAATGACTTTCTCAAAAAGCTTATCGAAAAAACTGCTTTGAGCAGCTTTTTGAATTTTAGCGTTTTGGAGCAATAAGCTATTACAAAAAAGCTAATTAATCAAACACTCATATTGGCTATTTAACCAAGTCAAACAGCTAATAGTAGTCAAACAAGCCAAAATTAGCTGATAAGCTAACTATGTTACCAAACATGGCCTATATGTTATTAGTGTGCTTCCCATGCCTCATGGTTGGGTGTCTCTCGTTGAAATGACCCTTTAACCTTCTTACAGGAGGGAGCTTCAAGAAGAACTTGGTATAACACTTCCGAAGGATGCATTTGAATTGATATTCTTATTTCTTCAAGAATGGTTAGTAGATGAAACTCTGAGTTATTCCTAATATAGTTTTTGCCAGACATTGGTAGTTTTGTGTAAACTACCATAGTTATGTATTTTATCCTTTCTTTTCTTCATTTCATCTGGTTGCAGTGTTATCAATGATGGAACATTCATCAACAATGAATACAACGATGTATATCTGGTTACCATAATAGATCCAATTCCTCTAGATGCCTTTACCTTACAGGTCAGTTGATGTGTCAGTTCATTGTTTCCTACCCATGCATTTTGAAGCAACTTCGATATATCATATGAAGTATACATATAACTGGTTCATTTCATAATTGCCGTTTCTTCACTCAACTGTCTAAGTTTGGCTTATGAAGTTAAGGGATAATTAAAATATTAACAATTAGCTTATGTTCTTCATTTTGAATGAGTTGGTTTAGATGACTAGTGTTAATATTTACTGTTGAATAGCTATCTTCTAATTTTAGTACTCTCACGGTGCTTATTAGTTATTAATTAACTTGTTATCTTTTAGTTATGCTTTGGGCTTGATTGTGGCTAATGCTCTTACTGGTTTACTTGTCGGTTGTGTCCCTTCATCACTAGTTTTTTCTTACTTTTTGTTTAAAATTTCTACAGTCTGCCTTATTTATCCGGACCACTAAGATCCATGTTCCGTGCCTTGAGATTGCTTATTCAGTATCTTATGCATATTTATCGATTCTATCTTTATTTCCACTGACCAGAAATCTGAATGCACCTTTGACTTTTTGTTTTTTGGTAGGAATCAGAAGTTTCAGCTGTTAAATATATCCCTTACCATGAGTACAGAAGTTTACTTGCTAAAGAAGATCCTAATTATGTGCCTTATGACATGAATAGTGAATATGGTCAGCTCTTTAAGATAATTGAGAAAAGGTTTGTGAAATATATATCTGAAAGGATTTCATATTTCAACTTTCAAGTGAAATTATTTGTTCCTAAGGATCCTATAGTCAGCGTGATTATGAATTGTGCCCTGAAGAGTTAATGTTTCTTCGTTTAAAAAAAATAAAAATAATCTTGCCCAGATTGTAGAACCCGCTCCCTGCTTGAGTGGATTTTAGTTTTTAGTTATAAAAAAAAATCTAAAAATGTTTGTGCTCCACATTATAAATTTTGGTGCCAGTTTTTCGTAACTATAAATGTCCAATTGCTGCAGGTACAAAGAAAGTGTTGAATCACGGAGTTTGGCCCTACAAAAGCAGCTTAGTCGTTATGCTCATGTTTCCCTAAGTGCTGAGGTTTGGACACTTTCTTTAGTCTTGCATCCATCTTGACCATATATATATATATATATATATATATATATAGGGATGCGATCCCATGAGAACCCCCTCCCCATGAGTCCATGAGAACCAATCTCATAAAATAGATCTATAGATGAGATTAATTGGAAGGATTAAAAACGCGCATGTGCATATTAGGCATTATGATGTGTGCATATTAAGCATGTCCCTATGTTGCACACAACACATGCATAATATGCACACAAGCTTAATATGCATACATCATATGATCATAATGCCTAATATGCACACGCGCGTTTTTAATCCCTCCAATTAATCTCATCCATAGATCTATTTTTTTTAATGGATGAGATTGGTTCTCATGGACTCATGGGAAGGTTGGATCTCATATGATCACCAACTTGCTTCTTTATGATGGTTTTCACTGACACAAATTTTCTGTGCTACAGATTACTGGGCTAAATGATGCAGATAAAAAAGCTCTAGCCCTTATTATCAAAGCTGCAAAGATTATGGACAGGATTTTTTACTTGCAGGTTGAATATTTGAATATTGACAATTAAAGTTTAATAATATTTTATAAATTTTATATTGTTTGTATATGCTGGAACACTTGAGCAACTTCTCTTTCGACATTTCTCCCACCTATTCTCTCTCAACCATTGCTCAAACTATTTAGTTTTGCTTTAAAATTTCAAATTAATTAAGTTCATTTCTCACCTTTATGTTAAATTTTCATTATTTCCATTTTTGTGGGGGGGCTTTTGTGTGGGGTGGGGGGCAAAAAGAGAAAATATCTATAACCCAAATTGCAAAGCAAGATATTTCGTTGAATACTAGGTTATCATGCTGTTTATTGCATTCATTTGTCAATTCAATGATCTTAACGAGAGTGGTGTTTTACTGGTTCTCCGATTCCATTCTAAACAGGTCTGGTATAGCAACCCATCTTTGAGAGATTGGTTAAGGGAGCATGCTGGCAAATCTCAGTTGGACAAGTTAAAATGGAGTTATTATCAGATTAATAAAAGTCCATGGTATGCATACTCTCGAAAACTCTCTTCTGTCTTGGAATTGCTTTATTACCAGTTCTTTTGCTAATCTAGCCTATGCATGTTCTCGACTTTTAAATTAAGCCTGAATTTCCTGTTGGAAAAAGCTTCTCTTTTTATATTAAAAAGATTATTTCTTGTCTTCCTGCACTTGATGAGATAGTGGATAAACGTATTGCTTCGAAATAAAACTCTTATTTATTCTACTGGTAGGTCCTGTCTGGATGAAAACGAGGCATTTTTGACAACTGCAGACTCAGCTGTAAAGCTCCTTCCCGAGGCTACAAAGCCCGTGACAGGGTGGAAGGGTCTTCAGTATAGAACAGCATTTCCCGTTATAAAACCACCTGGTGCCAATTTTTACCCACCAGATATGGACAAAATGGTATATAATTGGAAGTTAGTTTTGCTTTCTGCACAGATTTATTCTGACTTGGATTTTACTTATTTATTTTAACACTCATTCTAATGTAGTAAGGAGGATTCACAATTTTCTTGCTTTTATTATAGGAATTTACATTGTGGAGAGACGGTCTCCCAGAGGATCAAAAGAAGGAAGCGATGGGATTCTTTAATGTAATCAAAAGGCATAGTGAATCTGAACTGGCTATACCAATATCTCAAAATACATCGACCACAAATTCTTCGCATGACCTATATATTGTCCCGTACTGTCAAGAGTACAACTCGCTCCTTGCTGAAGCTGCGAAGTTACTACATGAAGCCGGAGACCTTACGAGCTCACTTAGGTATTGTGCCTGTTCCTGGATTTTAAAACTTGGGCGGTGGACTTCTGACTTATGAATTTTTTGTTATTCTTTTCCCTCTAGTTTGAGAAGATTTCTACACAGCAAGGCGGATGCCTTTCTTTCCAATGATTACTACGACTCAGATATTGCGTGGATGGAGTTGGTATGTTTGTTGCTTACCTATTTATTTTTAGTGCATATATTCAGATCATATAGTTTAGATGCCTTGTTCTCTACCAATACTGGTCCGAACCTTGAATATTGTTATGACCTTTTATCAACGATCACCGGCATGTATAGCTTCAAAGTCACATTATCATAAAAGTAACACATTTGCCTTGCGGGGCTAGCTCAGTTGGTTCGATTGATCACCTTAAAGCCTTGCTCCAGTGGCAGTGTGGGGGTTCGAATCCCACTGGAAACCCTGGGGGGGGGAGGGGTGGGTCATTTGGAGACCTTGACCGATCAAAGGTGATGAAGACCCCTTGTGCGCAGAGTGTACAGGCAAGGGGTGGGAACCTAGGGACTGACGGGGCGACTCGCAATTTACCTTCTCCAGCACTCTTGGGCAGTGGTTCTTGGGGGCATAGGATTAGTCCAGCGCAAGCTGGGAAACCTAATGTATCAACTAAAAAAAAGGAGAAAAGTAACACATTCACATAATAGTTGAAGATGCTAGATACATGTCTTAGTGCCCCTAAGAACCAGTCCGTGAAGACAATCTTGGACCCACAAAATGATTAGGATTCTTGCAAGACTTGCTGCGAAAACCTATAACGTGTTGAACTACCTAGAATTGAAGCGCTAAGGTTATTGTCAAATCCGTTTCTCATTAAAAGATTACTTCTCTGATTATATCACCTAAGTGTAATTATATATATGCTAATATGCCTTTGGTCTACCAGTTCTTGTTTAACCAATACTACCTTTGACATAAATTCATTGTGGCATGGGATGTTTGATTATGATTCCTTATTTTCATCATTTGAAGGACTCTAAGTTGGACGTAACTATTGGCCCGTATGAAACTTACGAAGATGCACTTTTTGGATATAAGGTATCTTTCCGTTATGCATCTCTTTCTACCCGTTCTTGTTTAACCAATACTACCTTTGGCCCTGTTTGGTAAATGGCTGTTAGCTGATTGGGTTAATTAGAGGGTATACTAGTTGATTGAAGAAAGGTGTTTGGTAAATTAGCTGTTAGCTGATAGATGTTTGGTATAATTTCCTTTATCAAAAATCTAATTGGAAAAGTTGCTTTGAGCAGCTTTTTGAATTTTAGCATTTTGGAATTACAAAAAGGTAATTAACCAAACACTTGTATTGGTTTTTTAACCAAATCAAAAAGCTAATAGTGGTCAAATAAGCCAAAATTGGCCTATAGGCTAACTATTTTACCAAACAGGGAATATGATTGGTTTATTTGCCATTGTCTTCATAGGCTACCTTTGAGGCCTTTATTGGAGTCCGGGATGACGAAGCAACAGCTCAACTCAAGCTCTTTGGTGATCATTTGCAGGTGCGTTTTTAGATTACTCCATTCTTAATAAACTATGGCTCCATTTATTCCTTCGTTTTTTCTATTACTTTTTGCTGAAGAGTGTGTTGCTCTAGGTTTTGGAAAAGAACTTACCAATGGACAATGTTTATAAGTCGGAAGATGTGGCAGCTGCTCCTATTCGGGTCATCCGGGTTCTTTATAATTCCGGGGTTAGTCTCAGATTAGTATAAATAACAGCTTCTATGAAATTTATTTCTCCTACCGTAAAAGATGTCATGCTTACTTTACCCCGTATGGAATCTTGTGTAAATATATAGTCGATTTTAAAAATCTTGCATGTGTTTAAACTTGATGCGAATGAATGAGATCTTTACATTCAATTCTTTGGCAGGACGTGAAGGGCCCTCAAACAGTTGCATTTAATCTTCCGAACGATGAGTCTATAGTGAAAGATCGAGGAACATCAATGGTCATGCTTAAGAATGTTTCGGAAGCAAAGTACAAGCGCTTTCACCCTTGAGACTATTATTTTTTAACGCCCGATTATGTTTAGTTTTCTGGCTGATGATTTTGTGTTTATCTGGTGATATTCTTCTAATTAGGTTCAAGCTCATTCTTCAGCCTATAGCTGATGCATGTATTACCAAGGAACTTCGGAAGTTTGTGGATTTTGAATCTTTCTTTACGCACACAATTTGCCACGAGTGCTGCCATGGCATTGGGCCTCACACCATCACACTTCCAAATGGGAAGAAATCGACAGTTCGATTGGTGAGTTTTCACATTAGTTTTAGCCGTTCAAGAATCTTCGAATTTGTTTTGTTGTTTGATTAGAGGCTTACTAGTTTGGTGTTTTAACAACACTTTAATACTCCTTTTGTTGTCTATCGTAGGAGCTGCAAGAGCTCCACTCGGCGCTAGAAGAAGCTAAAGCCGACATTGTTGGGCTGTGGGCCCTAAAGTTTCTAATTGGCGAGGTAATGAACTTTTTCCTCGGCTTTTGAATCCCCATCCCACTTTGATGCACCCAAGAAAAACACCGAGAAAAAACCACTTATGTTTCTATGTTTGCCAGGGTTTGCTTCCGAGGAGCCTAGTGAGATCGATGTATGTCTCTTTTCTTGCTGGATGTTTTCGCTCTGTGCGCTTTGGATTAGAGGAAGCTCATGGGTAAGCAATTGTGTGATCCTATATATTGTTGCCTTCACGGTTTTTGATGGAACTAATATCGTAATTTTCCAATATGATCAGAAAAGGACAGGCCCTGCAGTTCAATTATATGTTCGAGAAAGGTGCCTTTGTCTTACAACCTGATGAGACTTTCTCCATTGACTTCGATAAGGTAAGATTTTCTTATCATTTAGGATTAAATTTTAATCATTCCGAAGCAAAATGTTCATTACTTTTCCTATTGTGGAAGGTCGAGGATGTTGTCGAGAGCTTGAGTAGGGAAATCCTTACAGTACAAGCGAGAGGCGATAAAGATGGTGCCAGAATGCTTCTTGAGAAATATGGCGTTATGACTCCACCACTGCAATGTGCACTCCAAAAACTGGAAACGATTCGGGTATGAGCCTAAACTTCCTTTCTCGCGATTCTACTGCAAATTAAACTGTCTTCTCCACTTGACATATTTCTGATTGCCCCGTGCTGTATTCTCAGGTTCCGGTGGACATAGTTCCTGAATTTCCCATTGCTGATCAAATTTTAAGCGAAAGCCATTGAAGACTTGACATTAGGAAGTGTTCTTGATTCTTGAAGTGTGAGTTAAAATGCTGTTGTGAGCAAAAGTTGCATGAATAATGTGGGATATGTGTGTTTAGAACTGAAAACAAAATTTGAGAATAATGTGAAATGGTATCAACTTTTGCTTCCACAATATGCTGCAAGTGATTTTATCGACTCTTTATGGTTTGAGCCGGTCAGCTATGGGTAATCTAGGTCGGTTTATCTCTTTGCAGTTCGTTTCTGGTTAGGATCATAAGACGGGAGAGCACACATTCGAGTAGTAGTTGTGGGTTTTCTCGTAAATCGAACTGATTCCATGGCATGTATATAATTCAAAGTTATTGTCAAGAGATTGATTTATATAATGTGAAGAGAACAATAGAACACAACTTGTGTCTTTTCTGAGTTGGAATCTAATGCTGTTCTCCCTTAACATCACATTGGAGCCGTATAGAATCTATTGCAATAAGTTTATGGGAGATTGACACAAAATGTCATTACATATATATATATTCTCTCATTATTATACTGCTAAACATGAGATATGCTCGATCTCAAAGAAAACTAGTGACGTGATGTTGGATCTTAGCGCTGCATTATGGTCACTTCTCAGAGGGTCACCTATCCCAGGATTGCCGAAAGTCATGCACAAACTCAGTTGCACAGCATGCCTGACTCCATATCTTACTCAAAACCAATTGGTGACAAGTATGTGGACACTAACCATTTAACTATATCTCTTCATGGTAAGCCATAACGCTACGTCTGGAATCGAGCAGGGACTGAACTCAACCAACCCGGCCGATGTCCAACACATATATCTTTGTGATTCTTGACTATTGAGAATAATAATGATAACACTCATGAAAAAATGATCGTCCAAGAAAAGGTCTTATTTTATATATACACACGTGTAAGTGTACACGGTGCAAAAAACACGCAAACCTGCGTCTTAGTAACGCCAGGAATAAATGAATATTGTCCAAAGAAGCCTATAAAGATAGCCATGGCCCCTTCCACCATTTCTCATCCAATCTTTCTAGCTTCTGTTTATATCATATCAAGCAACTTTGAAACCATAATTTGTAAGCCAAATCTTCATTCATTCTTGCGTTTATCGTATTCTGTATATAACGTGGGACTATCACTTATTTAATTATCTTCGTTTGATTATGTTTATTATATATACCAATTAGCTATTACTTACCTAGTTATCTTCGTTTTTGAAAATTGATTGACAGGTATTAACATAAGAGAAAATGTCGGGAAAGGATAGAGGGCTGCACTACCCACACAATAATAGTTATTGCTATCCTCCGCCAGCAGCGGCTTACCCTCCCCCGCAAGGGTATCCACCGCCAGCGGCGGTGTATCCTCCTAGTGGATACCCACACTCTTCAGCTTATCCCCAACCCTATTCTTCTACCTACCACTCTTCAGGTTATCCTACACACCACTCATCAGGTAACCTCCCACCATTTACAGGGCTATGATCTTATACTAAATTGAAAAATGTGTTCTGTATATATTTAAATTTTAATATATTAAAAAGTATGCTTTCGGTGAAACTCACTTTATGATCCTAAGCAAAAAATGACTACGAATCAAGTTTTGATAGGTGATATCTGACGCGCTCAACCCGCCAACTTTGACCAGAAGTTAGACTTAAAAATTTATAATTATAAATCAACTCTGCTCTAACTTGACTAGAGTTGTTCCATATATATTTAAACTGATAATAAGACTATAACTCTATATTTTATATGTTATATATATGACCAACGTTAGTGCATGTGTGTTAGGGTGATAATAACAATAGTAATTAATATATATATATTCAGGGAGATATGGATCTAGCAGCCATGCTGTGCCGATGGTAGTGGAAGGTTTGGTGGCGGCAGCGGCGGGATATGGCGCCGGTCGTTATCACTCCGGGCACGGCGGCGGTCACTATGGATATGGCGGCGGTGGCGGACACTATTACGGTCATGGAAAGTTCAAGCGTGGGAAGTTTGGGAAGCATGGAAAGTTTGGAAAGCATGGGAAATATGGCGGCATGTTCGGAGGAGGAAAATTCAAGAAGTGGAAGTGATCTTTCGATCCTAGCCACCTTTCATGGCCGCCGGCCGCCGGCACCGCCTCTACTGTAATAACATTATTTTCTTAATTATAATATATATATGTTCCAATAATTTCTATGAAAGAATAATAAACTTTAATTCCATGATTGTATCCCGCAAACCAATCTTGTGAGAAATAGATATTCTTACTATATCCATATCCATCTAGTGTGACATCGTTTCTTGAAAAATGGGTAATATTTTTTCATTAGTTAAGTATAAACTCTTAGCATCGTCATTTTTTGTGTTTGTGTTGGTTTGATTCCCCTCCATCTTTTCTTGTGGACTCTCTTATTCATAATTTAATGAATTAGTTTTTCTTCTTCAAAAAAAAAAAAAGAATTTTTTTTTTTCATATATTTTCTCAACCTACTGAAACACAAAGAATTAATAACGCCTCAACTAAAATTCGAACTCACAATCTTCCAAATGGAAGTCCAACTAATCCGAGTATCATTAGACCATATAGTCTTCGTGTGTTGTTCAGAAATCTAATTGTGTTATTTTTGAATTTGGTGACCTGATCGCAGTTTGGTGTGACCTATTTAACCTTTATTTTTATAAATTATGTATTTCAATTCAAATTCACATTGCAAGGTGGACCCGAGTCCATGACATAATTTTTGAAAAAATTCTACTTATTGAGCACACCCTAAAATAGCTGCGAATTATGTGTGCAACCGTGTGCACCATTGCAAAACGATGTCGTTTTGATTAAAAATTACGCTTCCAACTTTAAAAAAAAAAATTATTTTTGGTTGCCGATAACAGTATGTCGTGCATAATTTGAATTATATATCCAGAATTAATGAACTATATATTCAGAATTAGTGAACTATATATCCAGAATGAATGAACGATATATCCAGAATGAATTAACTATATATTTAGAATCAATAAGGTCAATTATGAATGTGTAATTATTAATTTCTGAATGTACTGTTGTCAAATTATGAATATATAGTTATATAATTCTGGATATATAATTTATGTAATTCTCGATATATAGTTATGAAGTTGTGGATATATCCTACTGTTCAAATACGAAAAAAATTTGTCTAATTAACGCTATTAATGACAATCCAAATAAATATTTTTTAATGGAACAGTGTCGTTTTGCAACCGTGTGCACCATGCACAGCATAACGATTGTTTTGCCCGGCCATGACCCAACTATAAGTATTGTGAAGGTCCATTTGTAAAGACACTTTATCCAAGGAACCCATGATACTGGCCCAAAACCTATAACGTACTATTTCATCATATAAAACTAATTCTATTTTTTTTTTTTATTCATCATAGCGGAATATTTATTTATGTTTACATAATTATAAATGATGGGTGACCTTGTTTCTTATCTAGTGTATACTATTGTTGAGATAATATGACCGATTGAGAAACTCATAATTGGTAACTAGTTTGGACTTGAAATGGTTCATCATGTAATAGACTTGGAGAAATAAAAGTATTTCAGTAAATCTCAATTAATCTCCTCACTTGAGGCCTAATATGAGACTTTAGACAGCTAATGAAGTCTAGACATTCATAGTCGATTACAACTTTTTTATATTCTCGTTGATAACATCATCTTTGAGGCAAATCGCGCAAAGAATTGTGTCATCATCTAAGTTATAGTTGTGTAATATTCTAATGCTTTGTAATCTACAGATATCAGTTTGTAAAACTTGAAAGAGGGTCAACACTCTATAGACGACACCTTGTAATTAATTAGTACACATTATTGCATTCTTGCAACTCTAAGTTGCCAAGAATATTCTTTCATTTTCAACATTCTTTTTTTCTCACTTCTATATTGTTTTGATGAATTATTCTATAATCAATGTTTGGGATTTTAAAATTCGATTTACACCAACAATTGGTGTTTGTATCTCGCAAAATTCTCAATCTTATGCTCAAATAACTCAAAAATTTTCTATTTAAGTCAATCTTAATTTCATGATAAAAATGTAAATTTTTAGTTCAATTTTAGCAGATAAAACGTGATTTTTTTTTTTTTTTTTTTTTTGCACAAGTTAAAATAAAACTAATTTTCTAATAATTGATATATAAGTACTATATGGTACACTACGATGTACAACAACTATACACCACTTGGTAACCTACACGCATGTGACACATTTGTAGTTATTATTGTTCTTCTTCTTATTATTATTAATATGATATAAATATAAATGTGACAACTTGGTAGTTTGGGGTTAGGGTAGGGTCCATGTCATTTATTGGTAATCTTTACTTAGTTGACGACCTGCAAATATATTGATTAAAGAATGACACACAGAACCGAAAATAATGGTGGATCGGAGTGAGTAGAACAAAATTTTTAACTTATACCATAAAATTATAAATTTGATTTTTATCAATACCCTTTCAATCAAACTTGTTTACTCACTACACACTTGCCAACACCCTCTCAACTAAACTTGTTTACGCAATATACTACTACATATTTTCAGATAGTGACAACGAGTTTGTGGTGAAAATTGAAATGGAGTATTATATTGCATGCAATAAACTTTAAAAACAAAAACAAATTAAAGAATTAATTTGGGTCTTGACTCTTGAGTCTTGACCAAGTGTATTACCACCAACCCTAAACAAATAAATTAAAGATATAACATAAACGTGCACTATTGACTAAAATTGGACTAATGACTTTCATCACATTATAAAATTAAAGCATTAATTGGTTTATTGGATAAAACATTTATCAATACATTAAAATTTATATTAGTAGTGAAGACCAATTAAAACTTTTGAGAAGAGAGAAAAGTGCATGTAATGAGTAGACTAGAGAGAAAAGTGCATGTATTGTGGGAGCAACTTCGTTTTTAAAGTGAGAGGGCTTTTTGTGTGTAGTACGTAAAGATTTAACCTCTGTGTTTAAATGAGTTACCATGATTTATATATTTCTAAATGCTCTGTCAGGCCCAGTGGCGGAGGGAGCATGGGGCAGTGGGGACAGCTGCCCCCATTGCCCAAAATTATATATGTTAGTTACTACTGTTAATTATTAATTACCAACTGTTAGTTACTAATTGTTAATGACTAATTGTTAAGTTTACTACTTTACTGTTAAAATTACTATTAAATTTATTAATTGCTAAGTGTTAATTACTGTTAATTAATTACTAGTGTTATAGTTTTTGTTGTTAATTAGTTACTGTTAGTTTTTGCTAACTATTAATTAGTGTGGATTATATCCCTAGTTAATTTCTAATTACTTAATTTATTAAATGATTGTTTAGTGTCGTATGTTGAAAAATATATTTTTGATCAAATTTCAAATGAATCAGTTCTACAACGATTTCAACATTGTTTAGTGACGTATTATCCTGTAGTTTATCATAAACCTTATATTATAATTTATAATGTATTTGTATTTTAACAATCTTATTTGTATTTGAATCTTGTATTTGAACATTTTTTAATTTATTTTCCTTTTGCTTCTTTGCCCCCGCTGAAGAAAAATCCTGGCTCCGCCACTGGTCAGGGCGGTGCAATTGTAGCATCATATCGCAATAATGGAGGGAGGGGATGGAGTTGTTGGAAGCAGTGATGGATGGGAGAAGTGGTTTTTCCAACAAAACTGGGGACTTGGGAAGAGGACCATGGTTTCTGACCACCTATATATATATATATATATATATATATATATATATATATATATATATATATACATACATTAGCATCCTGTCATCATCACAATGAATCATAGCTCATATATATTGTTTTGCCATTAATTGACCCCCCCCCCCCCCTCTCCCACCCACCCCTCACACTCCCCTACAATATGTTTCCACAATTTTTGGAGTATGTTCTGCCAATTGCCCAACTTGCTCTGAACCATTTTGTCTGTCAATGACTCCAATTCTTGTATCCCATCCCTATAAATGTTTAATTTTTATTGGATGACAATGAATTTTGATCGGATTTTTCAGTTTACCGTACAATTAAATAGATTCAAAATTCGTTATCATTCAATCAGTATACTCATATATCACTCGGGTTAGTATTTATTTAGTATTTATTAAAATTATATTATTTACTTATCTTATTAAAATAGTACCTAAAAAATATTAGTTATATAAATATTAGTTACGTTTGCATTAGATAGGGCATCCATATGAAGGTGATATATTTTTGGCATATTTTTGTCAAAGACTGAAGAGACAAAAAGTGTGTCCCAAATCTTGGAAATAAAAAAAAAAATGTGGGCAATTTTAAGCATTTTTGGATTTCCTTCATGGCTGCATCCGCAATCTTCTTAACCCTGCAACACGGAGAGAATCTTGCCCTAGCCTAGATTACAACTCGATCATCATCTCACTCTAATTACAATGGGATGTCCATTTAAAAGTAATATATATATATATATATATATATATATATATATATATATATATATATATATATATATATATGGCTCAGAAGTGACGGTGAAATGGATAGAACATGATTCTCATATTAGAGTTTGATTCTTACCAATACACTCTCGTTCGAACTTGTGGCATAGGGTCGTAATCATCGTAAACTACACGTAACACAGGAGAGGTAAGTCACACTAGGAAGACTTTGTGTGACGGAATTACTGAGAGTGAGTTGGCAAGAAGGTATGCCACACTCTTCTAATCTGGTTCAATTCATGCTTTATTTTGGCTATATAATTTATACGGGGGAGAGATTGAGCTTCAACAATCAGTGAATGATCTTATCAATACACAAATGTATTCAATTGCGTTCATACTAATCATCGTAGGAATTGCATTCAAACATATGACCTTTTTCGATGCACCCCCTTCATGGTAAACAAGAGCCAACCACTTCCGGTATAAGTTATTCATATTTCACCTACTCGAACATCTTTTTCAGGGTAGAAAATGACATTTTTTGTTAGGTAAATAGTATTTAAAAAAAAAAAAAACTTTAAACTTATATTGTTGCCACTTTTTTTCTTTTTCGAGTGGGTCAAACTAAAAGATTAAATGGTAAACAAGTAGAAGAAAGAAAAAAGAAAATCCAAAAAGACTGCCTACACAGTAAAGAACTAATTCTTCCACCCAAATACCCAATATAATTCAATTCAAACCACGT